AGGCAGTGCTAAGGGAGATCTGGCCATATCCAAGTTGTGAGAGTTGCTCTAAGGGGTGATGGAAATTCAATGCAGCTGGTGAACTGAAAAAAATAATAACAAAAACCAATACACCTCTGTGCTATAGAATATCTTTCATACGGCAAGTACCCCAAAATGCTTTATACGGTATTAAAAACAGATTGAATTTAAAGAACAGGTAATATTGTTTATTTAAGGGAAACAAAACATAGGAGTGAACTAAAGCTGGTATAAATCAAGGACAGTTCAACTGAAGTCAAGTGGCTTACAATACAAATGCTGTAAAATACACAGGTTTATAATCTGGCTCATAATATTTTTCATTGATAGTTTAGCACTTTAGCCCTTTGGAGGAGGTCAGGAAAAGGATCGCCTTTTTTTTTTTTTGTATTTCCTTTTTTCCTTAAATTGACTATAATATTTTCTTGCTTTCCTTTATTGGAAGGTGGAACTTTAATATATATTTTTTAAAATTTTGGTTTATTCCGTACTCCTAAAAGTTTCAGAGACAAAAGAGAAAAGGGGGGGGGGGGGGGAAAGAGGGGGGGGAAAAAGCAAAGAAGGGGAGGAAAAAGTAGCTTTCCAATGCCTTCCTTCCCCCTAAGGAAGGAAATGTTAAAAATGTCTATAATGAATCTATTTGAACTTACTATTTGGAAAAAAAAGGTAGAAAAGCAATTAAAATATTAATACTTTTTAATGAATAATTTCAACACTTTTATGCATCTTATTTTTTGGTTTTGTCAAAATAAGTAGTTAATAGGAAAAATTCATTGAAAAAGTTTAATTTATGGCTGCAAAATGGATAAGCAAGTGTAATTAAAAGAAACTCTTTTAGAAAAAAGGCCTTGCTAAGAGAGAAATATGCGTGTGGAACATTTAAGCCTCCGACATGAAACAGGTATGAATATCTGAGTTAGAAATAGTGCAAGCTTTACTCTCTTGCATTTCTCCTCTTTATGGATGACCAAATTTCCCTGTACCAAGCAAGCTGATTTAGCCCCGAATAGTTGCGCATATGTCTGTATTAAAATGCATTTTAATTCTCAAATGAGGATCTAGTTCCTCATCTGAGATGGGATGGGGCTCAGTCTGTGCTCCTGCATGGGGTGGTTGGTCATAAATCGAGCAGGCAAAGCTAGTTTTGAGGCTAATTTGGGGTTTTTGAAGCCTGTAGGAGGAGCAAGCATTGGGAACCTCCAGATGACCTGCCTGCAGGGCCAAGCCAAGTGCGTCTCCTGTCAAGTGCTGCCTTGTCACCTCCTGGCACCCGCTGGCTCCCCAGAAAGGCCTGGAAAATGACAGCTCCTCTGGCTGCCGATCACAGGAAGGTTTATGGTCGCATACGCCACGGTCAGGGGCGAGTTCAGTCTCACTAACATGCTACTTTGAGAGATCTGCAGTGATTCTCCCTTGTGTTTCATGGCCTTTGCCACTGCCTGTGGTTTGCAGGGAAATGCTGCTTCTGTTATTCTGCGCAGTTGGTTGCAAAGCGTGGTTTTGGGCAAAAGACTGCATTGCTCCAAGTTGCTTGTCTGACAAGGATTGTATCCTTGTACACAAGGATTTTTGTAGCAGCACAAGATGTTGCAGTTGCCTTCATGCTGTGGTTAGAAAATAAAAGAGCTTTCCCCTTGATTGCCTCACCACCAGGATTTCAGTGTCCAGTGGGACTGACTCTGTCAGGGATGGCCAACCCAAACCTGCTTCTGTTTCCTCAGAGATGCTGCGAACTACCTGCAGTCCACACAAGCGCCTTGTCTAAAAGGTCTGGCCTTTGGGGTGGAAACGCAGCCCCTTTCCTAGCAAATTCTAGATTAGTATATTGAAATTTATTTGAAATCAGCTGCCTCATCAACTTTGTACTTAGCTGAATCCAGGCAGATTAGAAGAATGAGTTTGGTCATCTGTCCTTAAATGTCTGAAAATTTATTAGCATTACTCTCTAGTTTTCTTCAGATTTATAGAAAAATTGTATTTACAGGGACTCTGCTGTTTACATCAAGGAAGTAGTTTTTTAAAAACATTTAAACATAGTTGACTTACAGCCCAGTCCTTTTAGAGGTAGTATGTGCCTTTTCTTTAACACCACATGTCCATTTATTTCAAGTAGAGCTGGATGATACTTGCATGAGATCACCATGTTGTATGTTTTTTATTGTCATGGATTCTCCTTGTGTGTCTCATCTGCTTATTCTGTCCTCTTTATGATCCTCCCTTATTCAGACTGAGTCTGGCGGAGGCATCACTGCCTCATCTATTTTTGTTGCTTCCTCTTTTTTTTTTTTTTTTTAAGGGGGGGTTCCCTGCAGTTTTTTTTGTTTTGTTTTTGTTTTTGAGATTATCTTAGGTAGCTGAATGCTAACACAATATATGGTTTTATATTCCTCAGTTTAGCAAGAAGAGAGTGAGTGGAGGCATTTGTTGAGTGCACACAAGAGGATGACATGCAAGAAAGTTGTAATTTGGGAGGTTCGGTATTGCTGTCACTAAAGTTAACAAACAAGTCAGTAAATAGACTTGGAGTCCAGCTTTTCCAGCAACAAGCCTTTTCTCCGGTGGCCCTGACAGATGTTTGCATTAGGTTTTCGGATTAGGAAGAGTGAATACTAGGTGGAACTAGGTGTGCGAGTGAATCCATAACAAGCGAGAAAAAGACCTGGTTTCTGTTGCTTTCTTGTGAAATTATAAACTACAATGCTTTTCAGGTGTCTGCAGAAATTATCAGAGACAAAGAACAGTAATTCTAGTTTCCTGAAGGCTATTTAGAGAAAGCAAATGCTGTGAAGAAAGCAAATGATCGTATTTTAATTAAGTTTATTTTGTCTTCATTTCTCGCTTTCTGCAAAGCTGAGTAAAAATGAATTCTGTACCTAGTTTTCTGAACTCAAGTACAAATAAAATTGCATCTTTAAAACCATGATACGTAAGTGCTCTCAAGCTCGAGTCAGAGTAAATGCTATGCTAGAACAGATCAAAATCTTGGAGCATGATTTGTCTTTTTAGTTGTTATTGAATAAATAAATAAGTCTTCTAAGAAAATAAATTATTAGACAAGAAAGATGCTAAAATAATTTCTCTGCTGTGAGATAGGGTTTAGTCCCTACAAACAGACCTCAGACTCAAGCTGTGCAAAAAGATTAAGTTAATCTGCTCTTCAGAAGATGCTCTTGTTTGCTTATTCTGAACACCGAAACAGGGCTCACTGCTAGCAAGCACGCAAGGAACAATACATTAAAAATCTCCCCAATGTGGTCTCAGCTGGCACGTTGCTGCACAGAGCCCTGGGAGCGCTGGCAGCTCCCCACACCCCAAAGGTGGACTGACACCTATCCCAGCGTTTCTGCCTCAGCAGCCTTCTCTCTCACACAACTGCTAATTGATAAATAAGAAGAGAAATGAAGTTTTTCAATTGCATTTTTTTTTTTAGCCTCCCTCTGCCATTTAGAGATGTGAACAGAAAGGAACTACAGGAGGAACAGTGCATCAGAAGGTGAAAAATTCCCATTGCTGTTCCCAGGTATGGGCTTGCTCATGCAGCAATATGTGTGTTAGCAACACAGCTTCACCCTCCCTGGTTTTTGTCCCTACTCCTCCGTCATTTCCCTGGGGAAAGTGAAGGGCTCGCTCTTCTGCGCCAGCAGGCGCTTGCCTAGGTGCGACCAGGGTGCTCACTTGCACAGGTACCAGGAGAAAGTCAAGAGAAGGGCCCTACCCAACCCTGCCAGCTCTGCACCCCAAAGCACCTTTGAGACATCCCATATTTAGGGCTACCAAGGGGCACCTTTAGAGGCTGGAGTTTATGGGTTCAGGCAGATGTTGCTCACCAGCCCTGTGCTTGACAGCGTTGCAGACCTGGCATATTCTGTACCTCCCAGTGCTTAGGAGAGCTGCTACACTCTGCTGGGAGCTTTACTGGGGGAGAGGAGCCTGTGCAGAGGCAGGACGTGGGCCCCTCGGGCAAGCTGTGACCGCCTTCAGGTGGGGCAGCCTGTCAAGCTCCCACGCGTGCCCAGCAGCACTGCCCTCCGTGCCCCCCATGAGAGGGGCCCCGGCATGGCAGGAGCACCGTACAGGGATGGAGGAGGCGAGCACATTTTGCAGCGGGTCCCTCCTCGGAGCGGGGGGCGGAGGGAAGGGGACCCACGCGAGAGGCCATAAAACACCAGGGGCATTGGGAGCCGGGAGCAGCCAGAGCCCAGCGTGTGTCTGTCTGTTGCGTGGAGGGCGTGAGCGTGGGCAGTGCAGGAAGCCAGACGGGGTCTGCCTGCCGCCCCGTGAGCCTGAGTGGGTGCCCAGCCCCGGGGCTGGAGCTGCCTGGCAGCGCTGCTGGATGCCCCTTGCCCAGCGCCAGTCAGCTCGGAGGAGGAGGGGACGGGGTGCTCCTGCTCCCACTGGCTGCAGAGGCTGAGGCAAAAGAGAGGAAAAGGAGGAGGGGAATAAAAAGTAAAGAGAGCAAGAGAGAGGGGGAGAGAGAGAGAGGGAGTGAAAGAAAACTAAGCCCAGCTTTTGCCGGTGCTCCTTGGATTGGATCTGGTTTGAGTTTCCTCTCTGCTGGCTTGTGCAGCGTTTGAGGAGGAGTGGGGGGAAGTAACGAGCTCACTCTTCTTCTGAAGCTTAAGCGAACGTGCTGGGTGACGGTGCTGGTGGGGAGCTGCCACGGGCGCAGTTGCCTCCTAGCTTGTTGCTCTCACTTACTAAAGAATTTCCTGGACTTCTCAAGAACCCGAAGGAAAAAGCCATCACTGCACAGATCCGATAGTTGCTCAGTGCCTATAGACTTGACATCTATTTTTTCCTGGGGCATTTTTTTCCCCCTATCTCTCAGAGCAGCAGTTCCCTGAGTGTGTGGCATTGAAACCCATTGCTTTATTAACAGCTCTGGGAGATACTTTTTAATTTTTTTGTGCTCTTTTGTTTTCTTTACCTTTTTTAAAAAAAAAGAAAAAAAAAAGATAATCCTTCTGGGGGGAGGGGAGATGATCCTGCTGATGTGGAATAAGTGCTCCTGCTGTCTCCTCTTACTAGCCGCGGTCCTGATCGTGGAGAGCTCCCAGCTAGACAGCTCCAGCTCCAAGGTGAACTCCATCAAGTCCACCCTGATGGGGGAGGCTCCAACTCAGGCAACCAACAGATCTGCAGGCATCCACCAGGGACTAACGCTTGCTAGCAGTAAGAAGGGCAAAATGCTAGAGCAGATGGGAAAGCCTCCAAAGCACTATCACCGGCAAGGAGAGGTAGGACACTGCCGAACTGCATGAGTCTGTCCCTCTGTCGTTATGCACATTGATTGTTAGTCCCCTTCTCCTGTTCTCTTTCAAAGTTTTTCTTATTAATTAAATTACTTGACTTCATCAGGGTTGTCTGGAATGGTATCATGCTAAAATAGAAATTAAGAGCTGGGCATGTGGAAGTAAGAAGGTTTTAAATCCATGTGTTTTTCTCTGTGGGTAATTTTTTGTTTTTAAAAAAGAAAACTTTAGCATCTCTGCTTGGAATCCTTCAAAAGATTGCTGGAAATTAATTGCATGTTAACTCTCCAGGCACTAAGTTGAATTTGAATAGGCAAAGAAAATTTGAGTCTGAAATGAAAACTGTGTTTCCAGTGGTGAAATGAGTTTGCTTTTAGAAATCATACCTAGAAAGCTGATCTATGCTATCTTCCTTTCTGAAAGGGTAGTGGGAAGAGTGAAAAGCCATGCTGTGCCAGTGGTATAGTTCAGGGCATTTTTATTTGCTAAGTAAGACAGCAAATAAATTCCAGATTTCTTGCCCGATGTACGTGCTTGGGGTTGTGGAAGTTTTGCTTGGTCATGTCCACTTGAGATAAGCAGAGAATCAGTCTTCAATATGTGGGAAGAAAGTTGAAGTGGGAAGTAAAAAAGATAAGGTTATAGAAACTACGGAAAAAGGACCCTAACTTGAGAATTGTGTAGCTTTCTTTTCCTTCTACTCTGCTTGGATTCTTGAGTGTCTGCAGAAAATTTGCTCCTTTGATTGCCTTTGTGGGAAACTATAAGCCAGTATTTGAAGGCATCAGTCGTCGTCTTCCCTCTCAAGTCTCAACTTGGATGGTGTGAATGCTGTGTGTTTTGGTGTTGAAAGAGCTATATTCTGACTTCTTCAGACAATATAGATTTTATACTATGGGGCATTATTAGTAATTCTAAATACAGCTGCTTTTCATAAACAACAGACACTGTAGCAGCAAGGGAGCTGCCAAAATGCAGCACTAAAATGGCAGAAAAAAACCCAAAAAACTGCCTGCCTGAAGGCATTGCCTGCACTTTCCTTAAAGCAGTGAAGAAGAAGCTGTAAATTCAAGCAATGCACTGAACTCGCTTAAGCGTTTCACATTAGCCTTCTGGTAATTGGATATTATCATTTGGGGTTGTGCGCATGCATAATAACCATGGTGCTAGTTTGGGGTTTTGTGTGTGAGAAATTTGGTTTTAAACTCTTCCAAGCTTTTTTTCCTTACAACTGCTTTATAATTCGTCCAAAATTTGGTCGCCTCTCCTTACCTCTGAGCAAAGTGTAGTAACAGATGCTGTGGCAAAGTTTCATATTTCTAAAGTACTGTGCTCCTTCCTAGTGCACGTTGTAGTAATTACTACACCTTGAGGAAATACAGGAGCACGGAACACATTAGTGTACGTTCTCCTTAAGTTGTCTTCTATTATCTGTGGACTTGCAAAGAGCAGAGCGCAGCGCTGTCTTCCCCCCCGCGCGATGTCAGCCTTATGACTTGTGTAGATACCTGTGGGGTCGGGCACTGCCCAGCCCCAGTCCTGCTGTGCAGCATTAGTCCCGCAGGAGCTGTTGCTGCCTTGCCCCACGTGCGACATCCGTATCGTGTGTGCACAGACCACGCTGAGAATGATCCATCCTAATGTGCCTAGTTTCTGGAAAAGACCTTGCAGTGACCATGGGATTTGCCGCTTTCCTCCTAGCCCAGGCTGCGTGCAGTGACTGGCATTAAGGCAGAGGTGCTCTGCAAGTGCTGGTGCACGCGTGGCAGCAGGGCTGTCGCAGGCTTTGCAGCACCCCACTTGTAGTGGGGCTTGTAGCACAAGCTACGAGCTTGTGTCATACAGTTTTCCCTGGGAGGCTCTTTTTGCCTTCCTTCTTCATGCAACCCCCTGGGAGAACCAGGGCATTGCGGAGCAGACGTCACCTCCTGTTGTGGCTGTGACTCCGTCGCCCTTGTTGCTCAGCCTCCTGCCGACGCAGCCCATGAAGATGTCTGGTGTGCACAGCCGAGACACGTGGGTGCCGCTTGAGATGTCCACTTGAGACAAGGCTGTTAATGCAGAACTGCAGTAAAGGGAGGAAAAAAAATGTTAGTCTTTGGATGCTGTTTTATTGTTGGTGTAGTTCTAGCTGAAGGGTTGGTAAGCCACTCCATGTCTTAAGTGGGGGGTCACACCTCAACTAGCCAAAACTGATGTTTTAACAATTCTTTCTAATAACTGTACTTTTACCAGAGTAGTACTCACTTGTTTAGGCAATAGGACATCGTGCTGACGTCTTGTGTGTTGTTTGCGCTAAGAACAGAGCTACCTGTGGTGCTTTTACTTCTGAAACAACCTTCTACCTTAGTGCAATGTGAAAAATGGAAATACCTTTTATTTATTTCATAATATTAAATACTAAGCTCAGTATCCTATTTACAGATAGGAAATATTTTTATTAAGGCCTGAGGCATTAAAAAAAAAAAAAGAAATTAGAGGACTTTCCTTAAAACCATTGAAAGGGCCATGAGCCATCAGCCTCATGGCTGGTAGCCTAACGTGCTTTCAGAATATTTCCTCAATACATGAATTTAATACTTTCAATTACCCAGAGTAGGAGCAGCTTGGAATCCTTTAATCAGCAATAAATCACCACATATGGTGGTTCATGGCTTATCTAGTGTGTTGATACATTTCAGCTGGTAGTTACGGTGCTTCTACCCAGAAATGGAAGATCCAGTGCCCCTGTCTCAGGCAGCACTTCAGCTCAAATTAAAAAAAAGAAAATATATATATATATATGAGCAAATCAAGCTGATCTGGCTTGCTGGAGGTACAGCCAGGATAAATGTGAATTTGAGTAAGACTTACATTTTTATGTCTTCCTGAGGAATATTATTTAGTTCTGTTCTTATTCCCTTTACTGCCTTGGATCAGTAGAGAACGAGCAGTCCTGATGTGCTAAATCGGGGAGATTGTAGCTGTACTTTCACCCTTACTCCTGTTTTCCACTCTTCCCCCTGTTAATGTCTTGCCCTTTTCACAAAGAATCCTGAAGTGCCTACAGCATTTTCAGAGGGGAAAAAATGTAGATGTATGGAGAGACTTGTTCCCCCTTCATCTTTAAGGGGCTGATTCTTCTTACGTGGTCCACCAAAAGAAAACAGCAGGATCAGGCTTAGCAACCATTTTTCGCTCAAGGCTCTCAGTGAAGTCATATATCCTTTGAGGTGAAAACTGCTCAAAAATAAGACCATACTGTGCATGCTGGACCATGGGCTGGTGCTATAGGCCAGTGGCCATTGCTTTCCCATAAAATCTTATTTTAGAGGAATAGCCTTCAAGGAGTAGCTAATACCTCAGCTTCTCGAGGATCATATTATGGATTTATCAGCTCTCCAGGTAGATAAAATAGAGTGAATGGAGCCATAAGTGAAAAGTACCAGATAAGCAGAAATGGTGAATTTTCTGTGTCAGGTACTGCTAGCACTGTGCAAGGACAAGCTCTGCTCAGGGACTCAGTGGGGAAGGGGAAATCCAACATATCATAGCTGTGATCAGAAGTCATGGCCCTTCCCCTGATTCCCGTTTGACGTTGTGCAGCACTTCTCATCACTTCACCACCTTTCTCATTCCTTTGCTCTGGATTTTTGTCCCCTCTCCTCTTCTTCAGGGCCAGGGTTACCTCTCCCTCAATGGCCTTTAATGATCTGGTAGGTTGAATCATGTCAAAATGTATATCCTCTCCCCTTCCCCAATCCTGGCTAGATGTCCTTCTCCCGGCTCTTTTTCCCTTGAGCCCTGTTTTTCTTTTGCTGCTGAGTAGCTGGTTGGGTCTGTGAGTCCCACTGGGACCATCCCTCCCACTTCCCCCCAGGCACCACAGAGAGGTAGCGGGGAGGAAGGGAAGAACTGGGATGGCCAGGAGAGAGGGAACCGGCACAACTCTGTGTCTGGATGGGAGAGAGAGCGCTATAGGAAAGGAGAGAGGAAAAAAAGCTGGGAAAAATTACAGCGCTGTAAAGTCACGGCAGCTATCAGCTAAGCCTTGGTGCTTCAGATGCATTTGGTTTACTTTTTTAAAGAGCCTTTTTAAATTGTGTTTCATCTTGAGCTAGAAGACCGAAGCCTGTGGGAGCCAAGCCAAAAAAGCTTTAATCCGAAGGGCTGGGCTGGCAGGGGTCAGCAGGCAGCACCGCTGTGCACGCGTTCCTTGCAGGATGCAGCTCTCTGCAAAGACTTGGGGAAAACGCTCAGGCGATGCTGTGTAGCAAGTAAAACAGCGTGGTGTGGAGTAATTGACTGCAGTGCCCTGAGAAGGGTACAATAAAATGCACCAAAGACACCAAAAATGTAACCACAATATCTCCAATAGGTAGCAACGAAGGCAGTATAAATTATTTCTCCGTGGGTTTAAAAGTAATTTAATTAAAATACCTCAAAGCTATATCTAGCACCAACATTTAAGTAAATAACTAACCAGGCAGAACTGCTGAATCGGCAGAGGTCACCGGAGAATGTGTTCCTCGCTCTTGTTGTTTGCTGCAAGGAATGTGGGAGACATGCTGGTTTCCTGGCAGCAGTCTTGCTAAATAGCTGAGCGGCCTGTCTCATGGTTGCACAAATGGGACGCTTAGTATCATTGCCGTCCTTGGGTCTTGCTTGGGGTGCCCTCTAATTACAGCTGTTATTTGACTCCTTAATGCAGAGCAAGAGCTCCCATGAAATGACTCTAGCAAG